CAGTGCCTATAGTTAACATTTTCCCGAAAATATGGGTCAACATAGAACAAGGCGGCAACATCAACAAAGAATTCTAAAACGAGTATACCATTTGATTTTTCGACAGTATTAAATGTTCGGTTACATCCGAACTTAGCCCTTCCTTACTTGTTAATTAAGGATGACCCAAAGCTGAAGATTTCACTCGGTTTGGGTACAGAAACACACTATGCTTAGCAACTATTATCCCTTATTTTATTTAGATATCTCACACATTGACCAATATATTCGGTATAAAGGCAACTAGATTATATATGTATATAGGGCCAGGATAATATTATATATGGATTGATTTCCCCAAATTTTGGCACCCAAATTACATTATGTCCAAAGTAAAGCTTTCACTTATTTTTCAAAGACTTTTTATCCATATTCTAAGCGGTATCTATATATTTATATAAAAACGTGTTACTTTTACTCCAGAGTAAACTGCTAAGCTACATAAATCGATTTTAGTAAAGTTTAGCAGACTGTCTTCAATTAGATCCAACAAAAAAAGTTAGCTGGTTTGTATTTCAATTATGTTAAAAGTCAAAACAATTCATAAATAAAAAATATATTTCTAAACACAAGCATGTGTTCAAAATTGAAAAATTAATAATTATTATAGTTTTAAGTAAAATACCAAATAGCAAATCCAATATTTCTTCCATTATATATATAATACTTATATATAATGTTATATTTAGTATCATTTCAATAGATTTGCTATATTGAAATAATTCGGTTAAAAATTTATATATAAAAATGTAAATATGTATATATACATAAATATATTTAAATGCAATAATTTACTTCGTTCAGAGGAATTTAATATCCAAACAATATTGTTTTGCCTCACTAAATTTTAACCAGTATTTATTGTTATTTTGTTTTGGTGACATATTGTCGTGTTTACTAATTGACAATTTCTGTATAATACTATACGGTTATTTAAATCTCACTTATGGCTGTTTATTATGACGTTTCGCTGGCTCACAAATTCCTGCAGCTTGTTGTTGTAAACACTTTTGATTGCATTTTTATTGAAGTGTTTTGATTTTTTCGCTTTTGAGTTAGCGCTTCTCTCTCACGCGACATTAATTGAGCGCAAAAAAAGTATTTGTTATTGTTGTTATTGCATAGAATTGAAATGGTATTCGAAAAATTTTGTGCAAAAACCGTAAAAAAGATATTGATTATAATAAAAGTCGTAAATAAAGAAAATAAGCTTGATTTTCATTTATTATTATTATACCATACTCATGTTGCTACAGAGTGTTATAGATTTGTTTTTAGTGTATGTTTAAAAAGTGAAAATAATATTTAGTATACTATTACATCAAAATCGATCAATTTTTGAAGCGGATTGATACTAGTAATAAAAGTGAGTCACTTACGACAAGCGAAAATGGTCGTGGTTGTCAAGATCTGTGTTTGGTGGATTTGACAGTATGAGCTGCTCCTCTCTGTCCACGCTCTTGATTCGGATCTATACGATCAACAATCGGACCGTCTGAAGAAAGCAATCACCTACAAACGGTATTGATTTTGGATACTGGGAGAGGAATTGTGTTCCATCACGACAACGCCAGGCCCCATACAAAAAATAATGATTCACCAGAATCTTCGGAAGCTTGGTTGGGAGGTTCTCATGCATTGTATTTTAAATCTGACATCAAGTAATTAGTACCTATTAATTTTGCAGGTGAAAAATTCGACTCAAGAAAAGCTTGTGAAAATCGGTTGTCCCCTTTTTTTCCTAATAAAGATGGCAAGTTCTATGAGAGTGGCATTATGAAAATACCTTCAATGTCAATAAGTTATCGAACAAAACGGTAAATTTTTACTTTTAATCGGATCATTCTAACGATGCGAAATAAAACCTTGAAATTAATACAAAAATCATGGACTTCTTTTTACTAGACCTTATATTATATTTACAAATATGAAAATCCCAAAGACGGTTGTTTGTATCCCCTAAAACTAATCGAGTTAGATATAGGGTTATGTACATATATATAAATAATCAGGATGAAGAGACGAGTTGCTATCCGGGTGACTGTGTGTCCGTCCGTCCGTCTGTCCGTCCGTGCAAGGTGTAACTTGAGTAAAAATTTAGATATCTTTATGAAACTTGGTACACATATTTCTTGGTACCGTAAGACGGTTGATATCGCAGACGGGCGTAATCGGACTACTGCCACGCCCACAAAAGGCTATTAATCGAAAACAAATAAATTGTATTAACTAAGCTCCACAATAAGATACAATACTGTGATTTGGTACACAGGATCACATAAGGGAATGGCATTTGCAGTTTAAATTTTTTTTAAGTGGGCGTGGTCCCGCCCCCTAATAGGTTTAATATGCATATCTCCTAAACCACTAAAGCTATATTAACTCATTAAATTTTATCTCTGGGATGGCATGAGATGACTTTATAGGAACCGACTTCAAAGTTAGACAGTGGGTGTGGCACCGCCTATTTTCAGGTGAAAACCCATTTTTTGGAATCTGCTTAACCGATTTCGACAAAATTTGATACATAACATTCTTCTCATATTTCTATATTATAGTACGAAAATGGGCGAAATCAAATTACAACCACGCCTATTTCCCATATAACACCACTTTAAATTCCATCTGATTTTTTTACTTTCCAGTATGCATATTAAGCAACAATGATTATATCGGCGAAAACTTTGCGTAAATAATACGTTTAAAGTGTTCCACTTTGTGACCAAACTCGTCTAAATCGAACCAAACTGTTCAAGCCCCTAGATACTGAATATGTGGACCCCAGTGCCTATAGTTGACTTTTTACCGAAAATATCGATCAACATAGAACAAGGCGGCAAGATCCACAAAGAAATCTAAAACGAGTATACCATTTGATTTTCAACTATAGGCACGCAACTTTTCAAAACTGTACCTCCAAATTTATTACTGGGATCAACTTTTAAGAATTCTCTTAGAATTTAGGATACTATTCTAGAGATTTTATAGAATTAAATAAGGCAATACAATTTTTTGTTTTTTGTTTTTTGAAGCCCTAAACCCATGTAACCCCTTATTCAGTGGCTTCAGCGAATTTTGGCTGTTTTGGTTTTGGATTGTTGGATAGTTTCAATGTCATATTGATTGATTGTCACCAGTAATTATACTTACCGCCGTTTGTGCAAAAGATTCTGGTCTTTTGATACGAACATAGCATTGACAAGCTTCATATCCAAAACATTAATCAATATGTGTTGAGTCGATCCATAAGAGAAGTTGAGCACCTGTATCTTTTCAAGCACTGTATCTTTTCGACAGCTTTTTCTTCGGATAACAAATAATTCCGAGGTTCTGAAAATCTTTCGTTTCCCTTTTATATACAAAAAGTTAGTGGTTGTTGCGGTTTTCTTAACGAGGCTTCGAAAGAAGTCAAGCTGTCTGCAGTGAGCATCGCAGACAAATGAATGCCTTTTTGGTATATATGGTTTAACAAGATGGTGCAACCATACATCGCGTAAAACGATCACATTTTTTAACGACTCTTGGTAAATGATTCACATGAAAAAGTCTGTTCGACGATATAGTTAGACGACTATATTTGCATACTTTTTCAAAGTGTACGTTAGGTCAACGGTCTATATAAATAAACCAAAGTCCGGATTTTTTGGAAAGATTGTTACAAAAGTAGGCAGACAAGAAGGTGTTCAAAAGGTGCGGTCAAGGCTAAAACAACTCCTCACGTATTGAGAGCTAAACGATGTGTATATAGATACGATGTGTGTATAGATATATATGCTTTTTCAATTTCATTAAGATAAATCATATATTGACTGATATATGCGGTATAAAGTCAACTCAAGTTCGAAAATGTTTGTATTAGGTAAAAAGGGGCTAAGGGAAGTATTGATCCGATTTTACCCATATTTGACATTCGGGCGTAGTAAAAATAGGGGTGGTTGTAGTCCATTCTAACATAGGAATGACAGGACGATGTTACTTACCAAATTTGGTTGAAATTAGTCGATCAGATCCCGAGATATGGGTTTTTATCTAATTATGGGCATGACCACGTCTATTGTCTAGTTTTAATATCGGCTCCTGTAAAGCTTTTTTGTATCGGGTGCGAAATTTAGTTTGTCTGACCCTTTTATTTATGGAGTTATCGCTCTTTTAGTAGTTTTCAACATACATATTTGTTATAAGGGGAGTGGGCCTGGTCATAATCCTATTACAACCATTTTCACTCTTACGACGGGAATGCTAAAAAATACTATAAATACTCTAAGCACGTTGGCTTGACTTTTTTGAAGTGGTTTGGGAGATATGTACATTAAACTTATTACGTGGCGGGGCTCCACCCAATTTTTTAAGATTTTCAAACCACAGTTTTGTACCTTAATTTGGCGTTTAGTTGTAGCACTTTATAAGTTTTCAATGAATGGCGTTTTGTAAGCGTAGCAATAGTCTTATTCCGCCTATCTGCAATACCAACCCTTCTTGGGTGCCGAGGAACATATGTACTAAGATTCATCCAGATATCTAAATTTTTTTCTCAAGTTATCGCTTGCACGGGCAGACAGTCACTTGGGTTTCAACTCGTCTCCCCGTCCTGATTATTTATTATATATTATATTTATCTCGATTAGTTTTAGGTGATACAAACAATCGTTAAGTGAACACAACTACTATACTGTATAGCAACATGTTGCAAGAGATAAGGGTCAAGATATCTCTGTGGACCATCTAATTTTCCGTGGTATTTTTGTTGGTTTTTGTTTCTCTGAGAGATTTGAAGACTTCATCGAATGAACATTGAAATTAGAAAGAAATAGATTTCAATTTAAACCAATAAGTTTAGAAAATTAATACTTCTCAAAGTCTTCAGTGGGTTCTGGTGTCCATTAATAAACAATACTATATACTTTTTAGTCTTGACACATTTATTTCAATGAAGTTGATTATTTACTGTTACTTCATTTATTGTTGTTGGTATTTTACTTATGTGACGCATTCTTGTTATTCAAGATGATACATCTCACCTGACTAATACCGACTTACGAGAAATTGCAATTAAATGTGGGCGTGTTCTTTTGTATTCTGCGACATTCGTCATGTAATGTGTGGCTATTCACACATACATATGTAAGCTCCTCATGTGGCCACACTGCCCAATAAATATAAATAAATTGCATTAACCTGTTACTTTTTTAGTGCTTTTAAATATTTCTTATTCTTCAGTATTTACAAAAGGTGCATTTACTAAAGTCTTCTATATGACTCATTCCATATTCAGTTGATGTCGAATATAAGGATGAGTTATCAAGAGGCCATGTTTGACGCATGTCACTTGGGTGTGTTATATATGATGCAAAAGTCGAAATTTTGTTTAATATTTCCATCTTTCCCTCAGCCATCGTTTACCTTACATTATCTCATAGTTCCGACTTTATGACTCAGTCTTTAAACTAGGGAACTGCAGACCTTTGAACAACATTTGCTCACTTTAAATGTACTGTTCTATGTAAAATGCTATCAATCTTTAGCGGCCTTCCAATATTTGTTTAGTTGGTTCAAATGGTGATCAAAGCTAAAGCTCGGTGCCAGCCGGATCCTTTTGTTATTTATTTAGTGTATTTCCAGAATTTAAAATAGATTTGTTAGAGTTTAGAAAATAAGTGACTATATTGGCGGGAGTTCTGCTTCAGGGAGTGTTATGCTCCAACTGCAGGGAATTTATGGCAGAACTTACGACCTTTAAATAAGTTTCTTGCCAAATATTGTGGTATTTTCCGTCAGTCAAGCCAAATCAAGACCCTTAGTGAGCAGACTATGCAGTCTCACCTGTTAAAATGGTGCATAACTTTACTAAACAAACTTAATAGGGATTCATGACACAGTAATGCCTCCTGTGACTGTATCGTAATAAAGATCCGAAGATTTAACCAAATAGAAAGAGTTCTGAAGTTTCTCTAACTACATGCCCTTTATTCTCAAAAATATTTGTTTTTGGTTTCATTGGCAAAAGCTGACTTGACCGCTTATGGAATTACTAAAGTCATCCCAACAATTCGGGATGTGAACTGATCAAGCGATGTTTTTGAGTTAACCCAACTATAACTCTGAATTTTGATCACTATTTGTGATGAGCCGTATTCATCTCTCTGCTTTAGACTTACTCCTGTAGTAAGCTGAAAAACTCTCTCTTGCGCCCTTGGACCAGCTATTGAAATTTATAAGCAAATCGCCGCGTTTAGATAGTAATTTAGGTTGTAGACATTAAATGAAAGTCCGTTACATTTTTCTGTGCTCTAATCACATTTACTTCTACTTCTTTTTGACTGTCATCAGAACGCTCAATCAGTTACAAATGCAGCACGCCTTACAGCTCAACTACATTCCGACTTAAGCACAAATATGACGTGTTTATACCTTTTGCCAGTATTTCGCAAAGAGTAATAGATTTTCTATTTCTTATTATTTTGTATACATATAATATTTATATATGTACATATATGTAGTACTTGTATAAGAGAAATATTATCTCATGCAACAATTAAATTTTAATAACTTCACTTGCTATTATAATATTTGAAAATTTCCCACACTTGCTAATCGTGTTTAAACTAAATATAAGTCACGAATTGCATGCGCGCTTTTAAATAGTAAATACTAATTTTTATACAAACATTTTTGAGATGCTTTCATGAAATACGAACGCTTATGTCTTTTTAGTGGCTCTTGACATTTAAGGGGTAATTACTAGCAGCTATGACGTAACATATACTTGTATGAACATATGTATATATACCGAATTAACTTCATCTAAGCATATATTTAGTGATGTAAGAATTCTACTTGCGCTTTCTATGACGTTACATAAATGTGAGTAGAAACCTCGCACGGTCTCGTGACACACCTTTTTTTAGACAATCTTATGCAAAAACTGTATAGACCGCTGACTAAGTGCACACATGCTGACGTACTCAAAACCATAGGTGGAGATGAAAGAGGGATATTGTTTCTTAAGTTTTAGCCGTAATATTTTTTGCTACCAAATGAGTCAATATATAATATTAACATTTGGTTACAAAAATTAAGGGAATTTTGTGTTCAAAAAAGCTTGTTTATACTTTGGAATCTTTACTATAAGATATCTGATTCAATTTAAATTCTGATATTAGTTCTGCATGATATTGAAAATGAAATAAAGAAAGAACTATATTCTTCGATACTGATGGGCTTAGTTCATCGGTAGTAAATGGACAAAAATATTTCGGAAGCACGCCATTCTATGATTCTAAATTTAAAACTCTTCGGATTAGGGATAAGAACACTGCTGCTGCAATAAAATGTAATCGAATTGAGTCTCGAAATTGAAGTAACAGAGAGAATGTTCTGCCTCAAAAGCTCAGAAGTATAAAAAAAACTCGGTGCACTAAAATATCTCACAATATGATCCCTAAGCAAAGAGAAAAATTGTAATGCGAAAGTGATCCGGTCCGGACAACATTTTCAATATTACTGTTTTTGACTGCTTGAGGGAGAATGCGTCACATTAGTATTTGAACTCCTTGATAACGAAAGAAACCACATCTCAGAGATCGTTAAGAAAACAGCACTACAATTCGTGCAAATAAATCCTCTTCTGCGCCAGCACGTCTATCATGAAACTTCAGAATAACTCTGGGCATGACTTTCTTGACTTCTCGTCTTAAGCCTATAAGAAAATGAGAACGAATAATGCGTATAAATTATAGAAGCTTTGGCTATTTTACTATATATTCTATAGTAAATTCAAATGGTAGGAGACTTATCGTATGTATATTTATTGTCACGAGTAAAAAATGTCAGTACTGGATTTGATTACTTAAATGTATTTATAAAACATTAGTAGTTGACCAAATTGACTTCAAAACTACCGCTTTTTGAATGTTGCTATGGGGGAATAATCCTTAGTACTAAACAAGTTGGAATGTACGTCCTCCCTTTAGCATTTAAAACAAAATAAAAACATTGTGGGGTTTTAAGACCCCCAAATACTCACACTGCAAACAGCAGTTCCGCCTATGCAAGTCTGTTCGTGTATATTCGAGCGAGTGTGAGCAATCACACTTTCGATTTTACTGCATAATTTATAAAACCGAAATGACATGCCGTAATGACGGTAAAAGTACAAGTTATACGTGTCAACATATTATATTATATAAAGAGATGAATAAATACGTATGCGGTTGCAATAATGGCACAGTCAATTGTGACGGCGATGATTGCCAATTAAGTTTGTTGCATTGATCAGTTGCGACGACAATAAACCGACAAAACCTACCGACCGACTAACAATGACTCTGCGTGTCTGACGTGTAAAGTTGGCTGCGTCGTTCAACAGTTATGTGATTTGTGTTATGAGCGGGTGGGAAAATACGCGCAAATATTTTGTGAACACACTGTCTTACCGTAATCCATAGAAAACTACGTAAATATTCGGTTTGAATGCCTTTTGGGTAGAGCTATTATGTGCGAATAAACGAGGGTAGTTTGGTGAGTCTGTGTTGAAAGGTTTTAGATCAAATACAATTTGGGATACAAGAAAAAATTGTTTTGCTTCAAACCAAAGTCTTAAATAAGAAACTTTCAAGTTGACTAAAAGTAGCCTGACACTCCTGACTGTACGAGGGTAGAAGAAATTAAATGTCTAGTTCATTTTTTGGGATCGTATACAACTAGGGCTTTCACCGTAATGTTGCACATGTGATAGTTGATTTAGACAGTAAAATAGTCAGATCCAGATACAAAAATAAGGTTACAACATATGTCCAAATCAATGAGTGGTTACATGTTGAGAGGATAGATCAATTAATAATCTTTATAGTAAATGAAAATGTATACAATAATTTTATAATATACTGAAACATATTTATATGTTATGATCAATATAGAACATAATGTCCTCTGATCATCTCAGTTGGAGAGACAATCAAATCCCGCGTGCGTGCAATATTCAACATAACCATCCAGCCAAGTCAGTAATCGAGCAACCATTTATCGAGTTTGCATCACGTTTACTCTAGTGGATAAAGCATACTAAGCGCACCCAAGGCGTTATTTCTGCTGTGTTGAGACGCCATTACATCCTCAAAAAGTCACTGTTTGGTGTGCTATGTATGTATGTGCAGAAGGAATCATTGGCTCATATTTCTTCAAAAATGAAGTTGGCCATAATGTTACAGTCAATGGGGAACGCTATAGAGCCATGATTAATGACTTTTACGTGCCTGAATTGGAGGATGTTGATGTGGAGGACGTTTGGTTTTACGGCGCTACATTACATACAGCCAACGAAACCATCAATTTATTAAAGAAAACTGTTGGTGAGCGCATTATCCCGCGCCGACGGCCTGTGGCGTGGCCTCCAAGATCTAGCGACTTAACACCGCTGAACTATTTTTTGTGGAGATATGTGACGGAACCAATCGGCTAGAATTTAGCCGAGGCAGCCGCGTCGGCCACTTTCCCGAAATCATTTTTAAAACAAAATGACAATCCCTTATTTATAATTTATATTTTATAATAAGACTAAGTTCAACGCCATAACATTAAATTATATGAGTTTTATTTCTTCTTGAAAATCGCATGTCTAAAAAAACACCCTTTATAATCCATCAGAAGTGTAAGCTGTAAACGCAAGTCATATATATGGACATACAATTCATAAATATCACTATCTTATCAAACTACCCTAGTAATGATGCAGTTGAACAAATAAGCGAAAGAAGAAAAGGTAAGGGAACCGGAAGAAAGCGCATACAATGTGCTTTCTTTTGTGTAACTCAAAGGTTAACGTAATCGCTACTTTTTGAGATGATTAAGTAATTCTTTAAATATTCACTTTGCAACTTACAAATATACAATATTATAAAGTAATATCTGTATATAAAGGTTCAGATGTATGTACTGATTTGCTCATAAGATGTGTATGTTTAAATTAATCATGATTTTAACGTGGACGTATGTACCACTCAACACAATTGGGTCATGTTTTAACTGTAATAAACGAGTAAATTATGGGAATACATACTTACGTACATACATACATATATACTGTACCAATAAACCCACTTTGCTTTCTATTATTATAATAATGACTTTTAATAATTAAGCGTAATTTCAGCCAGGCTCATTAAAAATTACTCATTGTTTATGAACTGTCTGCTTTCACGTATTGACCACAAGCCTTCAATATTTATCTAACTACTACTTTACTCTAAATAATAATATTTGATTTGTTATTTGTGTGTGTGTGGCTTTTTTGTTCATATAACATTTATTTCGGGGCAGCTTAACCTCACAAATTTTGTTTATTTGTATTTATTTTGAATTTTTTAAATTTTATTTACACTTGAGTGTAGTATAATATGCATTTGAACTGTATCTTATACATCATCTCATATATCATACAAAAATATTTACTCCATATGTTAACCTTTCAGACAGTGAACTTTTCAAAGTGTGCACTTGTCTTCAGATCACTTATTTAAAGAGGTTCTTAACACTCGACAAATAGATATTGAAAGCATCGACATAAAGCTGTCAGTGAGCTCATTCGATATCGTAACAGGCTAGAAGAAGACTTTTGAACTTTGTTGGGCATAAATTAGACTCGCCTCTACTCTAACCCATACCACCACAGTAAAATGTATATATCCATCATTAGCATGATCCTGGTTGAATGCCTCTTAAGGAAGAATCTTTTATAACATGCCCGTTTTTATACTCCGAACAAGATATATAAAGCTTGTCTCGAAGTTTGTAATACCCAGAAGGAAGCTTTGGATACCCTGTAAAGTATATATGTATAAAAGTGATCAGCTTGATGAACAGAGTCGATTTAGCCATGTCCGTGTGTCTCTCTAAATATACTACTACTACTAGTACTAGACTAGAACTAGTCTTTATCTAGATACCGGTCTAAAACTTTGCACACGTCCTCTTCTCTCTCGAACTGCCGGTATTGGATTACTATAGGATCAAGATAAGGATATCCGTAAAAGATTTTTCGATGAATCCTACTACAAGTGGGTCACTTATGACAACTTCAAACGAAAACAGTCGTGGTCACATCGCGGTGACCCATATTGACAGTCAGGATGGTTTTGCTATCTGTTTGGTGGGATTGACAGGGTATCATCTACTCTGTATGCTGGTCTTCAGGGTATAACATTCCTAATTTTACAAATAAAAGCAACTAAGCCACTTGTAAAACAGCTGTTCTTGAAGAATTGACTAATGGAGACCCACATTTATAACCTCAGTCCCGTTGAAACACATTGCACATCTCCAATTAGATATTCCAGAGAAAATATGTACTCTGGTGAAGTGACTTATCTACACAGATAATTTCATCAGCAGTGTTTATTTTAAGGCACTGAAGAGTAGACTTCTTCAACTTTTAAGAAAATAATCAAATATCTGATTTTAAACTGAGTGGTTTCTGTTTTCATGAGTTATTTCTCAAATTAAAATAAGTATATTGTTATGAGATCGGGGACATTTTATAGCAGTACATAATAGTTTTTTGGCAGCAAGCAATAATATTTATACTGTAAACAGGGTATATTAGGTATGCCACGAAGTGTTTACCGCTCTAATGGTTAAATGCTCTATTACATATATGATATACCAATAACAATCAGGAGTGACACTTATGATTGTTTCTATATTGAATAATTAGGCGATTTCTTGTTGGACTTGGTCTTTAGATATCTGTTCCTCCCTAACCATACTAAAATCGTATGTTGACCTTATGGTATAAACTTAAAGTTCTTTGCCCTACATTGAACTGCAACTAAGCTCTCAAAGTAATTATAATTAGACAAAAAAAAACTTTAATGGCTGGTCAAGTCAATCTTAGTTCCCCGAGTATTATATAAAAATGTATATAAAAGTCTCTCATATAATAAAAGTGTTACATTAAACTCCATATTTTATTTTTGAGTATTCATTGAACTGTCACTGCTGATGTTAAGCTGAGAAATATATAACGTGCATATTTTTATCTTGACACCCATAACTACCTTCAACTGTGTTTGCGGATGTACAGAACAAGGTCTTAAAAGATTTATGTATACTATATTTTCAAGTAAACACGAATACTCTTTTAAGTATAGTGATATCCATATTTCTAAACGAGTATGTGTGTATATATATAATGTTTACATTGTGTTATAATTCAGTTTCTCAAAAGTACGTGTATAGATAATAGTAATTATAATTTTTTTTAAAACAACATATTTCACATTCTTAGCTTTTTACTTGTCATCACGTCATTATCATCATCATCAGCTGCTCTGTTTGTTTGCAGATATATTATATTGTTATAAGAGTAAAAAGGCTCTGACGTTGTTTAGCGAGTACTCGAAATTGTGAATTGATATAATATGAACGAGTGAAGCAACGCAACGGAAATACTATACATAATACCAAAGTAGTCTTAAAGCAAATATTTGCTCTGTATCAGGTGCACCATAAGAATGCTTCAAGCACGCAGTAGCCTAGTTTAAGTAAATTTTGCGGTAAAGTGCTTCTGTTATCAGTTGCCTCAACTTTTTTCTATGTCAAACTCTTTTTTTAGTGCTTAGACTATAAAAGAAAAAACGAAAACTTTCAAAAAATTACAATTTTTTCCACAACATTGTCTTCTTTTAGATCGATCCACTTGAC